TAAGAAATTTACTAAGATATTTTTAAAAATACAGTGGAGGTTTGCCTGGCTGGCTCAGTCGGATGAGCGTCTGCCTTCTGCCTCAGTCATGATCCCAGGGTGCTGGGATCAAGCCCCGCATCGGGCTCCCTGTTCAGCAGGGAGCCTGCTTCTCTCCCTCCCTCTGTCTCTAGCTCTCCCCTGCTTGTGCTTGCGCTCTCTCTCTCTCTCTCTCTCTGTCAGCTAAACAAATAAGATTTTTAAAATGTTTTAAAAAAGTAGTGGAAATGCTGAAGTTCAAGCATGGCAGTTTGCTAATGAAATTTGCAGGTTGTTTCACATAAAATACTTGTTATTCTACAGTGTGTTTGGTTCTACTTTTCTTAATACTAATCTTCCACTGAAATTTATGTTTTGCCTTCGTAATTCCAATATCAATGGTTTCGCTTTTATCAGTGTTGAATTTTCTTCAATTGTAGGGATGATTATAATCCCTTTTTAGCAATAAATGTTTCCTTTTTGAGTATCTTTGTACTTCCTTGAACATTTAAGCTTTTAAAAAATCTTTTAGTTTTAGTAATTATAAAAGTAACACTGAATGTTATATATTGTATAGAAGAAGGTAGTATGTATGTGTCAATATGGAAAATCTACTTTATAAATTTAGGAATGTATAGAAAAGCCACAGAGCTGTATAGTTTGACCTCATGTATAAAACTATACATATTTGAGATAATGTATCCATGTATTCATATATATATTCATCTATATTAAATGTATATGGATAGTGTCTGGAAACATATGAAAGAAATTCCTGTGTAAATATGTGACTGAGAGCCAGGATAAGAGGAGAGGGACTTTATACTTTTCTGTTTTTGAATGTTTTTCCTTTTTAGTTTCTCCAGTCTTTTCACACTATTTCCTTTGCCTTTTTCTCTCTCTCTCTCTTTTTAAAAATAGCCTGGTGTGTGTCTCTCTCCACATCTTCAAGCTCACATAAATGTGGGAGGTCACTATTTTTTTTTTTTTTAATAAAAATTGGTTACATTGGGGTGCCGACTGAGTCAATGGAGCATGTGACTCTTGATCTCTGGCTGGTGAGTTCAGGCCCCACATTGGGCATAGAGCTTACTTAAAAAATAGGATCATGCTGTAAGTATCTATCTGGAATATGCTTTTCTCACTGTGGACATCTGTTCCTGGATCTAGTTCTTTTTTTTTTTTTTTTTAAGATTTTATTTATTTATTTGACAGCCAGAGACACAAGAGAGGGAACACAAGCAGGGTGGGTGGGAGAGGAAGAAGCAGGCTTTCCGCTGAGCAGGGAGCCTGATGCAGGACTTTATCCCAAGACCCTGGGATCATGACCTGAGCCGAAGGCAGACGCCAGGCGCCCCTAGTTTTTTCTTTTTAATGGCTATGTACTGTGCATATCATAATGGAATGGGCTCCTTATTAGTGAAAGTTGACTTTTTTTTTTCCTGTAACAAATGATATTGTGAATATCCTTACACATTTTTCTTTGTGCATTTCTTTATGCATTTCTTTTTTTATATATATTTTTATTTATTTATTTGACAGAGAGAGATCACAAGTAGGCAGAGAGGCAGGCAGAGGGAGGGGGAAAGCAGGCTCCCTGCTGAGCAGAGAGCCCGATGCGGGGCTTAATCCCGGGACCCTGAGATCATGACCTGAGCTGAAGGCAGAGACTTAACCTGCTGAGCCACCCAGGCGCCCCATTTATTTTTTTTTAATTGAAGTGTCATTAACATACAATGTTGTATTAGTTTCAGATATATAATATAATTATTCAGCATTTCTGTGCATTGCTCAGGGCTCAGCAAGATAAGTGTACTCTTACTCGTACCCTTTTTTTCACCCATCCTCCTACCCCTGGCAACTGCCAGTTTGTTCTTTGTATTTAAGAGGTTTTTTTTTTTTTTTTTTACTTTGTTCATTTATTTCTTAAATTTTTACATATGAGTGAAATTATATGTATTTGTCTTTTTTCTGATTGACTTATTTTGCTTTGCATAATACAGTCTAGCTCCATCTACATCAGTGAAATGGCAAGATTTCATCCTTTCTGATGGCTGAGTAATATTCCATTGTATATGTGCCACATCTTCTTTATCCATTCATCAGTTGATGGACATTAGGGCTCTTTGTATAATTTCGCTGTTGTTGATAATGCTGCTATACACTTTAGGGTGCATGTGCCCTTTTGAATCAGTATTCTCTTAGCCTTTGGGTAAATACCTAGTAGTGCAGTTGCTGGGTCGTAGGGTAGCTCTATTTTTAACTTTTGAGGAAACTCCATACTGTTTTCCAGAGTGGCTACACTAGTGTGCATTCCCACCAACCAGTGTAAGAGGGTTCCCATTTTTCCACATGTGCGTCAACATCTTTTATTTCCTGTGTTTTTTATTTTAGCCATTCCTACTGGCATGAGATGATACCTCATTGTAGTTTTGATTTTTATTTCCCTGATGGTGAGAGATGTTGAGCATCTTTGCATGTGTCTGTTAGCCACCTAGATGTCTTTTTGGAAAAATGTCTATTCATGTCTTCTGCCCATTTCCTAATTGGATTATTTGTTTTTTTGGGGTGTTGAGCTTGATAAGTTCTAATAGGTTTTAGATACCCTTTATCAGATATGTCATTTGCAAATATCTTCTTGCATTCAGTAGGGTGCCTTTTAGTTTTTTTCTTCCTTTAATGTGCCAAAACTTTTTATCTCGATGAAGTCCTTTTTTTTTTTTTTTAAAGATTTTATTTTTAACTAATCTCTACATCCACAGTGGGGCTTACACTCACAATCGTGAGATCAAAAGTTGTATGCTCTACTGACTGACCATCTAGGCGCCTCTTGATGAAGTCATAGTTCATTTTTGGTTCTGTTTCCCTTGCCTCTGCAGCTACATCTAGTAAGAAGTTGCTGTAGCCAGTGTCAAAGAAGTTGCTGCTTGTGGTCTCCTCAAGGATTTTGATGGATTTCTTGGTCACATTTAGGACTTTCATCAATTTTTAATTTATTTTTGTGTATGGTTTAAGAAAGTAGTCCAGTTTCTGGGACGCCTGGGTGGCTCAGTTGGTTGGACGACTGCCTTCGGCTCAGGTCATGATCCTGGAGTCCCGGGATCGAGTCCCGCATCAGGCTCCCAGCTCCACGGGGAGTCTGCTTCCCTCTCTGACCTTCTCCTTGCTCATGCTCTCTCTCACTGTCTCTCTCTCAAATAAATAAATAAAATCTTTAAAAAAAAAAAAAAAAAAAAGAAAGTAGTCCAGTTTCATTCTTTTGCATGTTGCTGTCCAGTTTTCTAAATATCATATGTTGAAGAGACGTTTTTCCATTGGCTATTCTTTCCTGTTTTGTTTTTTGTTTTTGTTTTTTGAAGATGTCATTTATATATTTGAGAGACAGCACAAGTAGGAGGAGAGGCAGAGAAAGAGGAAGAAGCAGACTCCCTGCTGAGCAGAGAGCCCTATGCAACATGGGGCTCCATTCTAAGACCCTGAGATCATGACCTGAGCCAAAGGCAGATGCTTAACCCACTGAGCTACCTAGGTGCCCCTCTTCCATGCTTTGTTGAAGATTAGTTGACCATATAGCTGTGGGCCCATTTCTGGGTTTTCTGTTTTGTTCCATTGATCTGTGTGTGTATTTTTGGGCCAGTACCATACTGTATTGATGACTGTAGATTTGTAGTAGAGCTTAAAATCCAGAATTGTAATGCATTCAGCTTTGCTTTTCTTTTTCAAGATTGCTTTGGCTATTCAGGATCTTTTGTGGTTCCATACAAATTTTAGGATTGTTTGTCCTAGCTCTGTGAAAAATGGTGTATTTTGATATGGATTACGCTGATTCTGTAGATTGCTTTGGGTGCTATGGACATTTTAACAATATTTGTTCTTCCAACCCATGAGCATGGAATGTTTTTCCATATCCTTGTGTCCTCTTCGATTTCTTTCATTCGTGTTTTATAGTTTGCAGAATGTAGTTTTTTCACCTCTTTGGTTAGGTTTATTCCTAGGTACCTTATGAATTTTGGTGCAGTTGTAAGTTGGATCAATTCCTTGATTTCTCTTTCTGCTCCTTTATGACTGGTGTATAGAAGGACAACAGATGGGGCACCTGGGAGGCTCAGTTGGTTAGGCATCTGCCTTTGGCTTAGGTCATGATCCCAGGGTCCTTGGATGGAGTCCTTCATCCGACTCCTTGCTCACCAGAGAGCCTGCTTCTCTCTCTCCATCTCCATCTGCTCCCCCTGCTTGTGCTCTTTCTCTAAATCTTTAAAAAAAAAAAAAAAAAAAAGCAACAGATTTCTGTACATTAATTTTGTATCCTGTGACTTTATCGTTCTGGCAACTTTTTGGTGGAGTCTTTTGGGTTTTCTACATAGAGTATCATGTTGTCTGGGAATAGTGGAGATTTGACTTCTCTGCTGATTTGGATACCTTTTATTTCTTTTTTGTTGTCTGATTGCTGAGGCTAGGACTTCCAGTGCTATTTAAATAACAGTGGTGAGAGTGGACATGCAAGGCAAATTGAGGGATTTCAAGTGCATTTTCTTTTATGCTACGTAAACAATGAAGTAATAACTCATAAGAGATTGGGAAGGAAAGTTTCAGGGTGTGAAGAGAATATTGAAGTTATCGCATAGCAACAATCCTCTGTGGGATATGGTCCTTTTAACAAGGACCATAATTGTGTCCCCATAAGAAAGTGACTTAATACGTAAGTCACTTAATACTTAACACATAAAATAATACTTAATACATAAAATACTTAACACATGTGTTACTTAACACATGTGTTAATACTTAACACATAAAAGAATGTGTTCTGGGTGAATGTATATAATTTCAGTATTTCCTCAAACAAGAAGAAATAAATTCATTGGAAGACCTTCCCTCTTAAGGAAGTGTGGTCAAACCTGTATATAAATAGCATTATTAAAATCCTTAGTTATTGACAAAGCAAATTATTACCAGTGTGAAAATTATTGTTCGTGTCCTAGACAGCTGCTCAGGAAGCAATCCTGCATGCGTCTGGAAATGGCAAACCTTTACCGTCTAAGGACTACTGCATGCTATATAACCCTCATTGGACGGCTCTTCCAAATACCCTAGAAAATGCAGTAAGTAAATCAGTTATTATTTATTTGTAAACATAAAATTATTGAAAGGTGAGAATGAGTGATTATGTTTTAGTGTGTGAACTAGTTGTAATATAAAATGATCAATAAACAGTAACTTTTATTGTTTTGGCTTAAGTATTTTTCTTTCTGTAGGAAAAACAAATTAGGGAATTTTAAAATACCTCAAAGCCTGGTTGTCATAAAATACTTACAATTTAAAAGAACCTGGTATTAAACCAATATTGATACTTTGTCACTGAATGCATTTTTGTGAAATATGTTTTTTATGTTAAAGACATTTCTTCTTCCCAGACTTCCATTAGTTTGATGAATCTGACTACCACACCACTATGCAACCTTTCTGATGTTCCACCTGATGGAATAAAGAGCAAAGCAGTTGTAGTACAGTGGGGAACCTGCCATATTCTTGAAAAAGCCAGAATTGCACAAACAGGAGGTGCTGAAGCATTGTTGGTTGCCAATAACAGTGTCCTAGTAAGTTTTAAAACTTTACTAACTTTTGAGCTCATGAAAAGTATCAAATTTCATAAATATTAAACTATCTTTTTGGTGTATAGTTTAGGGGCTGAGTTTTGAATAATCTGATGGTAGGATTCTTTTAAAATAAACATTCTGTGGGCACCTGGGTGGCTTAGTCAGTTAAGCATCTGACCTTAGATCTCAGCTCAGGTGTTGATCTCAGGGTTGTGAGTTCAAGCTGCGCGTTGGGCTCCAGGCTGGGTGTGGAGACCACTTAAAAAAATAATTGTAATAAAAATTTAAAAATAAATAAAATAAACATTCTGGCTTTGATAGGCATTTAGTTGGAAAACTTTGTAATGTCTTTTCTGTTCCTAAAGTGGACAAGACTTTGTTAGGAATAAGTGTGTGCAAGTTTAATTAAACTTCAGTGTAATCACGCACAAACACATGTTTGATATACCAGTATATAAATCAGTTTAAGTTTATGCTAAAAGGATTCCCATTTGAGAACTCTTACTATATAATATCAAGGCAGAAGATAGGAAACTTTGTTTTGGAATTTTAAAAAAGATACAATACTTATATTTAAAGGAATAATTTGCATTTTATTCTGTAAATATATTAGTAGCTCATACGTTTTCATGATATGTTTTTTTTTTTTCTTTTAGTTTCCTCCCTCAGGGAACAAATCGGAATTTCATGATGTGAAAATACTGATTGCATTTATAAGCCACAAAGACTTTATAGATATGAAGCAGGTAAATTAGTAATTACATACTAGACAAAGTTTATACATAGTACAATTCTTTACTTTTAACCACTGGCATTTAATTTAAGTTATATATGCTCCATTTGCGAACAAGAAGCTATAAAGGCCTATCAAGTCTTTGTTTGAGAAGTGTTCACCTCTCAGCACAGGGTATTTCTGAGCCCTGACTTTAGGAAGGATATTTACTTGTTTTGACTTCTTTAACAGTCTCTGTTATGTCATTTATCTTATCCTTAAATCTCTGAACAGGATATGTCTAGGTGAAACACCAAACTCTGAGGATTTAATAAACCAAAGCTTAGTCTCGTAATTCTGACAAGAGAATATATCATGTAGTCAAAAAGGATTCTAGTGTTCTTGACTCTGTCTTATCTGTTTCAGAGTGAAATTGTAATATTGCTGCCATACACTGGAAGAGAAAGAAAACTAATTCTGTTTTTTTTTTTGTTTGTTTGTCTTTCAGACTCTTGGAGATAACATTACTGTAAAAATGTATTCTCCATCATGGCCTAACTTTGACTATACTATGGTGGTTATTTTTGTAATTGCTGTGTTCACTGTGGCATTAGGAGGATACTGGAGTGGACTAATTGAATTGTAAGTTTAATTAAACTTCAGTGTTTCCGTGATAATTGGCTAAAAGATTATTGTCTAATAGTTTAATCATGTAACAATAATTAAAATATACCTGACCTCAGAATATAGTGCTGTTACGATCAGATTGCAGGTTTGTCCTGCTGTAGGTCATTTAACTTCTCACTGAGAAGAGTTAACTTCTGCTAACTCTCCTGCTGGGGGCTAAGATTACATATTTTAAAGAAGCTCCCAAGTGTTTTTGCTGGCCCACAGACCACACTTTGAGTTAGCCAGGCAAGCTTTGTATACATGTCAGGGCAAGCTCCTCCTTTAGAAAACTGGAGATGGGAGAGGAGTACATATAAGCTTTTTCACTCATAAAACACGATGATGGACAAAGACAGAGAATGTGTTACCTTCATAGCCAAGTTGGAAGAGAAGGAGTTCTTTACCTGCAGGAATACGGAATTTAAAATATTTTACTTTAATTCCAGTATAGTTAACATATTGTATTATATTGGTTTTAGGTGTACAATACAGTTCAGTGCATTACTTAGTGCTCATCAAGATAAACATACTCGTGGGGTGCCTGGGTGGCTCAGTGGGTTAAAGCCTCTCTCTTCAGCTCAGGTCATGATCTCAGGGTCCTGGGATCAAGCCCCGCATCAGGCTCTCCACTCAGCAGGGAACCTGCTTCCTCCTCTTTCTCTGCCTGCCTCTCTGCCTACTTGTGATCTCTGTCTGTCGAATAAATAAATAAAATCTTTAAAAAAAAAAAAAATCAATGTACTCTTAATCCCCATTATCTGTTTTGCCCATCCCTGTGCCTTCCTCCCCTCTGGCAACCACCAGTTTGCCACAGTATTTACAAGCCTGTTTTTTTGTGTGTTTTTTGTTTTGTTTTGTTTTGTTTTGTTTTTACTTTGTTACAAGTTTGCCACAGTATTTACAAGCCTCTTTTTTTTTCTTTTTTTTACTTTGTTCATTTGTTTCTTAAAATTTCATGTATGAGTGTAATTATATGGTATCTGTCTTTTTCTGACTTATTTCATTTAACATTATACTCTCTAGGATCCATCCATATTGTTGCAGATGGCAATATCATTCATTTTTAGGATTAAGTAATATCCTATCCTATTGTGTGTGTGTGTGTGTGTGTGTGTGTGTGTGTGTGTGTGTATATACATATGTATATGTATATATATACACACCACTTTTTCTTTATCCATTCATCTGTGGATGGAAACTGAGGTTGATTGCATCCATGTCTTGGCTAGTGTGAATAATGCTATAATAGACACTTTAAAAATAAATATTTTAATTTTCTTTGGATAATTTCTGGATCATATGGTAATTCTATTTTTAATTTTCTTTAAAGATTTTATTTATTTATTTGAGAGCAGAGGCAAGAGACAGAGAGAGCGAGCATGAGTGGGGGTGGGGGGTGGGGTAAGGTCCTGTGTCCATCTAGGGCCCTGAGATTATGACTTGAGCCAAAGGCAGACACTTAACCAACCGAGCCACCCAAGCACCCCTCTATTTTTCAATTTTTTAAGGAAACTTCATGTTATTTTCCACAGTGGTTGCAACAATTTGCATTTCTACCGACACTGCACAAGCGTTTGTTTTTCTCCACATCCTCACCAAACTTGATATTTCTCTTTCTACTACTTCATTTTTTTTTTTTTAGGGATTTTATTTATTTGAGAGATAGAGTGCATAGGGAGAAGCAGAGAGGGAGAAAGAGGAACAAGCAGACTCCATGCTGAGATTAGAACTTGATGGGAGGCTCAGTCTCAGGACCCTGAGATCATGACCCGAGCCAAAACCAAGTGTTGGACGCTTAACCAATTGAGCCATCCAGGCACCGCCTCTGCTACTTCATTATTAGTATATAGAAATGCAGTGGATTTCTGTAAATTGGTTTTGTATCCTGCGACTTTAACTGAATTCATTTATCAGTACTAATAGTTTTTCAGTGGAGTCTTCAGGATTTTTTATATATAGTATCATGTCATCTGCAAATAGTGAAAGTTTTACTTCCTCCTTACCAATTTGGATACCTTTTACTACTTTTTCTTGCTTGACTGCTGTGGCTAGGACTTCCAGTACTATTTTGAATAAAAATAGTGAAAGTGGACGTCTTTGTCTTGTTCCTGACCTTAGGGGAAAGGCTTTCAGTTTTTCACCATCAAGTATAATTATGGCCTTGATTATGTTGAGTTATGTTCCCTCCAAACCTACCTTGCTGAGAGTTTTTTATCACAAATGGATGTTGTACTTTGTCAAATGCTTTTTCTGTGTCTATTGATCATATAGTTCTTATCCTTTCTCTTACTGATGTGATGTGTCATGTTGATTGATTTGCAAATATTAAACTGCCCTTGCATCCTGGAGATAAATCCCACTTGATCATGGTGAATGATTTTTTTGAAATTTATTATTGGATTTGGTTTGATAATATTTCATTGAGGATTTTTGCATTTATGTTCATCAAAGATACTGGCCTGTAGTTCTCTTTTTTTTAATAGAGTCTTTACCTGGTTTTGGTATCATAGGCTGAATTTGGAAGCTTTCCTTCCTCTTCTGTTTTTTTGGAATAGTTTGAGAAGAATGGATATTTACTCCTCTTTAAATATTTGGTAGAGTTCACCTGTGAAGCCTTCTGTCCTGGACATTTGTTTGTTGGGAATTTTTTGATCACTGATTCAATTTCATTGCTGGTAATCAGTCTGTTCAGATTTTCCCTTCCTGATTTAGTTATGGGAGGTTATATGTTTCTAGGAATTTATCCATTTCTTCTCGGTTGTCCAGTTTGTTACCATGTAATTTTTTATGGTATTCTCTTACAATCCTTTGTATTTCTGTGGTGTTGGTTGTTACTTTTACTCTTTCATTTGTGATTTTTTTTGAGTTCTTGCTCTCTTTTTTATGAGTCTGACTAAAGATTTACCAATTTTGTTAGTCTTTCCAAAGAACCAGCCCCTGGTTTCTTTAATCTATTCTATTGGGGTTTTTTAAGTTTCTGTTTCCTTTATTTCTGTTTTGATCTTTATGATTTCCTTCCTCCTGCTGGTTTTTGGTTTGTGCCTTCTTTTCCTAACTTCATTAGGTTTAAGGTTGTTTGAGATCTCTCCTGCTTCTTGAAGCAGCCTGTATTGCTATAAACTGCCCTCATAGAACAACTTTTGATGCATCCCAATGATTTCAGACCGTTCTGTTTTCATTTTCATTTGTTTCCATGTAATTTTTTATTTTTTCTTTGATTTCTTAGATGACCCATTTGTTGTTTAGTAGCATGTTCGTTAACCTCCATGTTATTTGTGGTCTTTCCAGATTTTTTCTTGTGGTTGATTTCCAGTTTCATAGCTTTGTGGTCAGAAAAGATGTGTGTGATATGACTACGATCTTTTTTAATTTATTGAGACTCATAGTCTAATATGTAATCTCTTCTGGAGAATGTTCCATGTGCACCTGAAAAGAATGTGTATTCTGCTCTTTTAGGATGGAATGTTCTGAATATATCTGTTAAATCCATCTGATTCAGTGCATCATTCAAAGCCACTGTTTCCTTGTTGATTTCATGTTTGGATGATCTGTCCTATGATTAATTGGGATGTTAAAGTCCCCTGCTATTACCATATTACTATCACTTATTTATATTTGTTTTTAACTATTTTATGTATTTGGGTGCTTCCATATTGGCCTCATAAATATGTACAATTGTTACAGCTTATTATTGAATCCCCTTTATTACTATAGAATGTCCTTCTTTGTCTCTTGTTATAGTCGTTATTTTAAAGTCCATTTTTATTGCTACCGTGGCTCTCTTTTCATACCATTTGCCTGATAAATGGTTTTTCTTCCTTTCGCTTTCAATCTGTGTGTATCTTTAGGTCTGAAATGAGTCTCTTGTTAGGCAGCATGTAGATGGATCTTGTTTTTTTAATCCTTTCTCTCACCCTGTGTCTTTTGATTGGAGCATTTCATCCATTTACATACAAAGTAATTATCGATAGACATGTACTTAATGTCATTTTGTTACTTGTTTTATTTTTGTTGTTGTTCTTTTTCTAGTTCTCTGTTTCTCCTCTTGCTCTCTACTCTCACAATTAGTTGGCTTTCTTTAGAGATACACTTGGATTCCTTTCTCTTTATATTTTGCATATATTTCACTGGTTTTTGATTTATGGTTACCATTAGGTTTGTATACAACATCTGCATATAGCAGTCTATATTGAGTTGATGATTGCTTAAGTTTGAGCTTATTTTTTACTCCTCTCTCTGTTTCCCCTGTTTTAGATATGTGGTATCATACTTTACATCTTTTTATTTTGTGTCTTGACTGATATTTTTATATATACTTATTTTTATTGCTCTTGTGCTTCCTACTTTTCTTCTACTTATGGTCTTTCCTTTCCACTCAAAGAGTCCCCTTTAACATTTCTTGTAGAGCAGGTTTAGTGGTGATGAATTCCTTTAGCTTTTGTTTGGGAACTTCTTTCTCTTTCCTCCTATCCTGAATGATGGCCTTGCTGGACAGAGTATTCTTGGCTGCACAGTTTTTCCTTTCAGTACTCTGAATATATCATGTCACCCATTTCTGGCCTGCAGAGTTTCTGTTGAAAAATCAGCTGGTAGGGGCGCCTGGGTGGCTCAGTTGTTAAGCATCTGCCTTTGGCTCACGTCATGATTCCAGAGTCCTGGATTCGAGCCCCACTTCAGGCTCCCTGCTCAGCAGGAAGCCTGCTTCTCCCTCTCCCACTCCCCCTGCTTGTGTTCCCTCTCTCACTGTGTCTCTTTCTGTCAAATAAATAAACAAAATCTTAAAAAAAAAAAAAATCAGCTGATAACCTTACGGAGTTTTCCTTATATGTAACTGTTTTCTCTAGCTGCTTTTATTTCTTTTTTTTAAGATTTTATTTATTTATTTGACAGACAGAGATCAGAAGTAGGCCAAGAGGCAGGCAGGTGGGGGGGAAGCAGGCTTCTTGCTAAGCAGAGAGCCTGATGTGGGTCTCGATCTCAGGACCCTGGGATCATGACTGGAGCCGAAGGCAGAGGCTGTAATCCACTGAGCCACTCAGGAGCCCCTCTTGCTGCTTTTAAAATTCTCTCTTTCAGGATTATGGATTTTGAAATTGAGGTGACTGATTCTAAAAATAGGATAAAGATAGAACTAAGTGTATGTGTGGAGATGGTTGGGGCAGGATATATATATAATCCTGCCCCAAAGAGTGGTGCCGCGGTGGCTGAGAGAGAGCATGCGTGTGGGGGAATGGGGGAACAGGAAGAGGGAGAAGCAAACTGCTTGCTAAAGCTGGACTTGGGGCTCTATCCCAGGACTCCAGGATCACAACCTGAGCCAAAGGCAGCTGCTTAACAACTGAGCCACCTGAGTGTCCCAGTAAATAGGAGGGACACCTGAGTATCTCAGTTGGTTAAGCGTCTGCCTTTGGCTTGGGTCATGATCCCAGGGTCTTGGGATCAAGTCCTGCATTGGGCTCCTTGCTCAGCTGGGAGTCTGCTTCTCCCTCTGCCTTCGGCTCTCCTTGCTTGTGCTCTCTCTCTTTCTCTGTCAAATAAATAAAACTCTTAAAAAAAAAAAAAAAGAAAGAAAGAAAGAAAGAGAGAAGGGGAAAGAGAATAAGGCTTAGGAAAGGGAAAATTTGCCAGAACCAGAACTCATATAACTCAGAATTACCCTGCCAAATGAAAAATGTACCTTATGCAAAAGGGAAAGATGTCTTAGTTCCATAGAAAACTTCTTAATAGAAAGTTAAAATCTTACTATAATGAAATCATTGGTCCTCAAGCTTCATAAACTCAAGATAGCATGAAAGAAAGCTTAGCTTTCCAGAGCTACCCTACGGCCCAGCAATCGCACTACTGGGTATTTACCCTAAAGATACAAATGTAGTGATCCAAAGGGGCTCGTGCACCTGAATGTTTATAGCAGCAATGTCCACAATAGCCAAACTATGGAAAGAACCTAGATGTCCATCAACAGATGAATGAATAAAGAAGATGTGGTATATATATACAATGGAATGCTATGTAGCCATCAAAAGAAATGAAATCTTGCCATTTGCAATGATGTGGATGGAACTAGAGGGTATTATGCTGAGCGAAATAAGTCAATCAGAGAAAGAATTATCATATGATCTCCCTGATATATGAGGAATTTGAAAGGCAAAGTGGGGGGTTTGGGAGGTAGGGAAGGAAAAAATGAAAGAAGATGGGGTCGGGAGGGAGACAAACCATAAGAAACTTTTAATCTCACAAAACAAACTGAGGGTTGCCCAGGGGAGGGGGATAGGGAGAGGGTGGGAGGGTTATGGACACTGGGGAAGGTATGTGCTATGGTGAGTGCTGTGAAGTGTGTAAGCATGATGATTCACAGACCTGTACCCCTGGGGCAAATAATACATTATATGTTAATAAAAAATGAAAAAAGAAAACAGCTTTCCATTATATGTGGCTCTTGAGCTGATTAGAGGTACAGTGTTTTAAAAAGATGATTATAGTATTTTTATGTGATATAAATCTAGTACATTTCCTTTCCAAAAATTGCCTGTGCTTCTTCCTTTGCCAGATTTATCTTTTCCTTTATTTATTTTTTAAAAGTTTTTATTTATTTACATGAGAGAGTATAAGCAGGGGGAGCAGCAGAGGCAGAGGGAGAAGAAGGCTCTCCACTGAGCAGGGATCATGACCTGAGTGAGCCAAAGGCAGATGCATAACCAGCTGAGCCAGCCAGGCGCCCTTATCTTTTCCTTTAGAGGAATCTACCTGGAGAACTGGTGTACTAAATAAGAATATATAAATCTTTCATTATGACCTATATGAATTTATAAATTTTTCACTATAATAAAAATGGTTTTATTGTTTTTACTTTTTAAAGATTTTTATTTATTTATTTGAGAGTGAGAATGAGAGAGAGCATAAGAGGGGAGACGTCAGAGGGAGAAGCAGACTGCCTGCCGAGCAGGAAGCCCAATGTGGGACTCGATTCTGGGACTCCAGGATCATGACCTGAGCCGAAGGCAGTTGCTTAACCAACTGAGCCACCCTGCACCCCATAATAAAAATAATTTTAAATGTATCTGTTTGCCGTGACAGATACCAAAAGTAGGCACCTTTTTCCACTCAGATACTACTTTCATTGACACTTCTGTTTAATATTCTATCATCCAGCTCTGCAGTTGCTGGAATATGCTAGTGTGACTGTCCCCAAACCCTCTCCATGCTCGTTGCCCAGGCAGCCTCCCTACAGTCAGAGATGCTTAATATAGTGACCATCCCATTTAACAATTTTCTAGTAAGAAAGTGGTATGTTGGTAAATAAGCAGTCTGGCAAATGTACAGTTTGATAGTAATAAACTTTTTTTAACCTAAAGTTTATATTAAGTCCAGACCTGATGAGAAAGTCAAGGTGTATGCCATGGGAAGGAGAATTTAGTTGGTCAGAGTTGAAAGGACTGGAGGTAGAAGAGTATGTAGTGGGCTCCATGTAGCTGGGAGGAGACAATAAGATGACAGAACAGAGACTGCTCAACAAAGAACACTACTGACTCTTTCCTCTTCAACTTTTGTTTCGGCCTTTTATTAGCTGTGTGACTTAAGAAGGGTTGTTGAGAGAATTAAAAACAGTATTTTGCTATCTTAACTCAAGGTAGATAAAGCTATGTCTTGAACTTCTTTTGAATCCTTCATAATACACTGATAAGCACAGAACAGGCATCCACTTAGTGCTGAGTTGATTGAAAGAATTTTGTGTTTACATGTAAGAAAAGCTAATTTTAGGAGTACTTTGCTCTCTGTAAGTTGGTAATAAGTGTGTAAAAAGAAACTGGTTATGATCTGAAATTCGTTATATCAATATAAGTTTTCAAATTAGATCATATAAACATCTGCAGACATTATTTATATGATAAACATTCTCTATTTCAACAATTTCACTTCCAGAAGAAAATGCTTTTTCAAAAGTTCGTGGTTAATAACAGATCATCTCTGGAGGGTAGAATTAGAGGGACCTTTTACTTTATAGATTAAGTTATTTTCTGTTATGTGTGCTGTTTTTTTAAAGTATATTACTTTGTAGTCAGAAACAAATTTAAGTTGATGTTGGAGATAGATTTTCAAAATAACCATTCTTGGCAGAGATTTGCTGAAGTTCCTGCGTGTGTTTATACAGGGAGAGCATGAAGGCAGTGACAAACACTGAAGACAGAGAAATGAGGAGAAAGAAGGAAGAATATTTAACTTTTAGTCCTCTAACAGTTGTAATATTTGTGGTCGTGTGCTGTGTTATGATGGTCTTACTTTATTTCTTCTACAAATGGCTGGGTAAGAAGTCATACTTACTATTTGCTACTTTCAGTCTACAAGCTTTTCATTTATTTTATTAGATTGAAGGTATTATACCCAGAAAGCTTAAACAAATGATTGAAAAGTAATGTTAACTCTCTAAACTGTCAGAAGTGCTAGATCCCCCTCACTCTAGGATAAAAAATATAAAAATATTCAGATTAAAAATATCCTGTGTCTTTGAGATAAGAACACTTCTTCATGGATGACTTGAAAGAACTGCTGTGGCTCCTAAATTTCCATCTCTGCAGATAAAGCTGGAGAGCCCCATATCTAAGCAGAGACTAAGGACTTCTTAGTGACTGTATTTAGTTACACGAAATAGATTATTCAAGTTACTAATTTATTGCCTCTGCTTATCCCTAAAGTGTGCTTTGTTCTTTCGTCAGGGTCCAAATCAAGACGTATTGCTCAAATTTTGTTTTACTTGTGTTAGCAGTCAAGATCATACTACATCTAAAGACACACAAGTACTTGCCTGTGGTCTAAATAATAACAGGTACTTTTCCTTTAAGAAGGTAGGGGTAGGAATTGTAAGGGCTTGCCCATCCCCTGAGCAATCGTGTTGGTGGTCTGAAAGAATGGAAATTTGCCATCTCTGGGCAATGCATAGCACAAAGAGGAGGAGACTAGGGAAAAGGGAAGTGGCCTGGTAAGAACTAGCAAAAATCCTTTGTGAAAACCACCACAGGCTCCAGTGCTTATTTGGAGAACATTAGCACAATTTTCTGGACTAGAAAACTGAGGTACTCAGGTTGGTTTCAGCTTATTGTCCCAATATTTCCTGTCCTGTGGCAGCATTAAAAACTAGACCTTTGACCTATATTTCCAACTAGAAAAATAATTATTTGAATGTCACTCATATTTTAATGTTGTGCTGGGGGAGTAGATGTTAGGATAGTTATTTGTATTTACATTGTCATTGTGCAGCTGATTTTTCTAATTTTTTTAAAAGATTTTATTTATTTATTTGACAGAGAGAGATCACAAGTAGACAGAGAGGCAGGCAGAGAGAGAGAGAGAGAGGGAAGCAGGCTCCCTGCTGAGCAGAGAGCCTGTTGCGGGACTTGATCCCAGGACCCTGAGATCATGACCTGAGCCGAAGGCAGTGGCTTCACCCACTGAGCCACCCAGGTGCCCCTGATTTTTCTAATCTAATACTTAGCCTTCACTCGTTTGTGTCTGACCCTCAGTCAATTAATTAGTGGTCTTTGATAGAAAAAAGAGATTCCTCTACCCTACCCTAAAGCATGCTTTCATTTGTGGTGAGAAAGTTCCTTAAACTTTCAGGTATTTAAAAAGTTGACCTTGCTTATCAATGTAATTTTTTATGTAGGAGGCAGATCATTAAACCTCCTGGTTATCCTAGGGCATGGGAGTTAATTATGACTCTTACAAAATCGATGTGGTATTGCAAGACATAATGTACCTCCAAATGGTTCCTAATGGCTAAATTTGCTGCCATTTTTAATTTATGAAATATATCAAATTGGTAAGGTTCCCCTTACCATTTTATGTTAAGTCATGCTCAAAAAGTAAAGATGGTTATATTAACCAGATGCTTTCTCATACCTAATCATTTTCCTAGTATACTATGACATTGAATGAAATAAAACTCTGTTAGGGTCTCAAGAACATGCTTTCTACCTAAGTTTTAAAACTTGGGTTGGCAGCCTTTGATGGATGACTCACCAAACATAACTTGGCAGGCTTTGATTGTCTTTGTTTTACTGCTTACATTACCATACGTAACTAGTAATAACAAATAACAAATAATGACAAGAGACTAAAAAAGTAAATTCTAGAGAGGGTATGTGCTATGGTGAGCACTATGAATTGTGTAAGACTAATGAATCACAGACCTGTACCCCTGAAACAAATAATATATATTAATTTTAGAAAAGTAATTTGTCCAATTTCACCAATTAGAAAGTGGCCAACGGTTAAAAACGAGGATATCAGAAAATTTTTGAATGGTATCCGTGTTTCTGAAACAGGAAGATTTCTGGAGACTCATGAATAAGATCTAAGTTGTCCACCTACATAAAGAGCAAAATGCCGGATGATCTTTCAGACTTTTCTGTGACATTTTAAAGATACAATAAAAGCTGTATAGATTTAAAAAAGAAGAAGAAAGAAAGTGGCTATCCCTGATTTACTATCTCTAGATTACTCTCCTTTTCTCATCTCATAATTTTCTGAAATTTAGTGGAATTTGTAAAATTCATATTGCCATTGTGAAATTTTGAGAAAGTTAAGAAAATGAATAGTTTATTTTATAGTATAATAATTTCTCTCCCTTCTCGGGCGCCTGGGTGGCTCAGTGGGTTAAGCCGCTGCCTTCGGCTCAGGTCATGATCTCAGGGTCCTGGGATCAAGTCCCGCATCGGGCTCTCTGCTCAGCAGGGAGCCTGCTTCTCTTTCTCTCTCTCTCCGCCTGCCTGTCTACTTGTGATCTCTCTCTGTCAAATAAATAAATAAAGTCTTTAAAAAAAAATTAAAAAAATAATAATAATTTCTCTCCCTTCTTAAGAATAAGATTAGATGTAATTTTAAATAATTTTCAAAAAAGTATAACTAATATAGAAAAATATTTGTGAACATTAACTACCTTAGTTTCATATCATAACAGAGTGGTTTGTTTAAATGGATTTGGTTTTACCACAGGTCAAATAATTGGAGATAAATTACACCATAGGAAATAGAGATAACTTGTTTAAGGTAAATATCAGTTCTCATCCCTAAGGTGCATTTTTTTTTTAAGATTTTATTTATTTATTTGACAGAGAACACAAGTAGGCAGAGAGGAAGGGGAGCAGGCTCCCTGCTGAGCAGGGAGCCCGATTCGGGCCTTGATCCCAGGACCCTGGGATTATGACCTAAGCCAAAGGAAGAGGCTTTAACCCACTGAGCCACCCAGGCATCCCCCTAAGGTGCATTTTTAACACATTTCTATTGTTTACTTAATTCGTCCATTCCTTACATTTAAGTTCTTACAAGTGTCTCTATCTCACTTCATAGACATCTTCAATAGACATGTTAGTTTGAATCATTGAATGACAGAAAATGCAGAGCCAGCTTTAGCCCTTAAGCAGTCCTACCAATGTGTAATGGAACGGAAACAAGACATTAAACACTCGCATTTCAATAAAACTCAAGATCTAAATATTTTCAGCTTAATAACCAATTCACATTATAATATGATCACTGCATTGGAAGTATCATGGTGCAGTAAGAAAGCTAGATTACTATTGCGTGTATAAATATTTTCTAATCACATTTCCTTCTGTTCTCATATAATTTAGTGTCTTCTTTTTTTCTAGTGTATGTTATGATAGCAATCTTCTGCATAGCATCAGCAATGAGTCTGTACAACTGTCTAGCTGCACTCATTCGTAAGATACCGTGTGGACGATGCACGTATGTATCTCTTACAAGGAATCCTATAATGTTGGTATTTGTAATTTAAAACAATACAGGGAAAAGTAGGAGTGGTATTTTAACTCTGTGTAAGCCAACATACATGTGGCTATTAAAATTTAAATTAACTAAAATTAAATAAATTTTAAAATTCAGTTCCTCACTCTTATTAGCTACATTTCAAATGCTAACTAACCACATGTAGCTACTACTGGCTACTGTACTGGGCAGCACAGATATCGGACATTTTCATCATGGACAGTTCTGTTGAATTAATGAATATTTTGGATGTAACATTTGTTGTACTTAAATTTAGGGCTTTTAAATCGATATTTTAGTAGCTTTCTTGTGACTGTGGTTAACATTTGTCATTTCTCGTGTTTAAGTGAACATTGTTATTTCATCTGCAGAGTAGACTAACTTATTTCTGTCTATTTTTTTAGGATTATATTTCGCGGCAAAAGCATTGAAGTGCGACTTATTTTTCTCTCTGGACTATGCATAGCAGTGGCTGTTGTTTGGGCTGTATTTAGAAATGAAGATAGGTATGAGTGCTCAGTGCATTTGCTTTTAGAGTAAGGATGCATGATTTTGTGTCTTGCTTGGTAGTTATGCATTATGATTATTATGGATTTTTTTTTTTTTTTGCTTTTATTCCAGAACACCATAGTCTTGAAATAAGCCAAATAAGACTCATAAGCAGATCTTGTGCTAATGGGTTCAAGGTCATATAGATAAGAAAATATGTATTATGGTTTAAATATCTAAGCCTATTTTGAAATAGGCTTCAAAATATACTTACGATGATATCCCACAATGAAGTACAATGCGTCTATACAGGATGGAGAAGATCTCTGTAAACTGATATGCAGTGATTTCCAGGATGTATTTTTAAGTGAAAAAAGAATATATAGAGTATGCTACCTTTTCTGTAAGAGAGGAAAAATAATATACAAATATCTGTCCATTTGCAGGAAGGATGACCAGAAAAAGATCTTAACTTTTTAATGGTTTATTAATAAAATTACTAAAGCCCAAAGCCACTTGTAGCCTAAAATTTGGAAGCAAGGATTTACAATTTAAGGTGGCTTCAGTTGATAATTATACATATGAGTTCCTGGTAGATTATGTTACGTAGTTCTCATTTCCTTTAGATTCCAGCTATCTGGACATACGTGAACACCAGTGTCTTTTGTTATGAGCTGCCTTTCTAAAAGAAACATGTATATGTTCAAAGATGAAAGATAAGATGTATGTTCTGAGGTAGCCTTTCAGTTTTTCCTTAGTTATAGTAGTAGTCATTATTCTACTAGGACAGCAAATTAATATGGAGTATATGAGAGGTTTTTTGTCATTATAATTGTTGCTTAATCAAATAGTCAAATCATAACAACTGAATGATACTTTAATGATCTATTTCTTTTGAAAAGTCCCATCTAAGCATAACTACATAAACCAGTAGAGTATTCTTTTGATTTTAGGTGGGCTTGGATTTTACAGGATATCTTGGGGATCGCTTTCTGTCTGAATTTAATTAAAACACTGAAGTTACCCAACTTCAAGGTAAAGTGTACTGCTTTGCAAGCTAAAATAATTTTTTCTTTTTCTTTTTCCTTTTTTTTAAAAAAAAAATTTTTATTTATTTATTTGACAGAGACACAGCGAGAGAGGGAACACAAGCAGGGGGAGTGGGAGAGGGAGAAGCAGGTGTCCCGCTGAACAGGGACCCTGATGTGAGGCTCGATCCCAGGACTCAGGAACCATGACCTGAGCCAAAGGCAGACACTTAACGCCTGAGCTGCCCAGGCACCCCAGTAATTTTTTCTTTTTAAAACAACTTTATTCAAGTATAATTTACATGTGGCAAAATGCACCCCATCTTAAGAGTACAGTTTATTGAAGCTGTACAAATGAATAACTTTGTAGCCACCATCCCAATCAATTATAGAAGATTTCTCATCTCTTTGAAAGCTCTGTCCTGTCCTTTTGTAGTCAATATTAATCACCAGCTATAGCAAACTATTGGTTTGCTAGCTAAAATATTTTTAATTATTTCTATAATATGCCAAATTCATAAAATCCTTACAAAATATCAACAAAGAACATTTCTTTGATTTAGTGATTTTTTTTAAAGAATGTGTTAAAGAAGATAAAATTTTTAATGTGATTTGTAGAATAAAACTACAAATAGTAATAATTGTTAAATGCCTTAAAAAAACAGTGTTCAAATGAAATTTCATTATGTTTATTTGTATTTGCAAAACCATATAATTTCTTCATTTATAGGGAAGTTTGACCTTTAAATTTTTTCTTTTTTTTCAACAGTCATGTGTGATACTTTTAGGTCTTCTCCTCCTCTATGATGTGTTTTTTGTTTTCATAACACCATTCATCACAAAGGTATGATATTTTTGAAATCCATGAGAAACATGTTATAAGAAGAGAATCTTAAACCTGTTCTTAGATAACTGATTTTGCAGATGTTTACCATTGAGTATGTGCTAATTCTCTTTTGAAAATGGTCATTGGAGTTGGCCTTTTTTTTTTTTTTTCTAATTATTTTAATACCATATAATGTATTATTTGCCCCCGGGGTATAGGTCTGTGATTTATCGGGCTTACACATTTCACAGCACTCCCCATAGCCCATACCCTCCCCAATGTCCATAACCCAACCACCCTATCCCTACCTCCTCACCCCCCCATGAAGTTGGCCTTCTAATAGATGATTTTTTTAAGCTTTTAATTCATTCTGCTAAGTGAAAAATGTCTCCTGGCTGATCATGAGACTATAAATTTTCTTCCTATCCATTTTAAAGTAACTTTTCTTGTTATAAAACAATCAATGTTTACTGTAGACAATATGAAGAACAAAAAGAAGGAAAGTGCATCATTGATGCTTTCATTTCTGTACCCCTAGTTTGAGACTAAGAAAGAGCTCCATACTGGAAGTCTGATGGCATGAAGTGTAGCTCTGTAACTGCTACCCTGGCAAGTCACTCACACTTTGTGCTTCCGGTTCCTAATCCATTGTGTGAGGGAGTATTGCTAGCATTCCAGCCTCCCTCTGCCATCAGTAGAATTCTTCTGGTCGGAACTGACAGAACCCGATCTAACCTTTCCAGACCACAAAGGCCCTTCTATCCAACCTGTGTATAGAAGCAAAGGTGGAGCTGGCCTCAGAAGAAACTAGACCTAGGGGCACATACTCTCCTTTTCCACTTCTGTCCATTTTGTTCTTTGTCCCAGACTGGCTTTTTGTATGAAGTTAGAGTAATAGCAGCTGACAGCTCCTTGTTCACCTGTCCCCCACCCCTGCCATTAGCTTTTCCATAAAATAATGATGCTGTTCCCAGAGTAAGGGAGAGGTGTTGGGTGAGTGTGGTCATCCTTCATTATTTGCCCAGCTTTTCTACTTGTCCCTATTTCTATCTCCTGAGTATTTTATTTTATTTTATTTTATTGCTCAGTTCTCCTGCTTTCCCCATTTTATGTTGAGTCTTATTTTGACTCAATATTTGCTGTTATAATCACTGCATTTTTTTCCCCATTACTTCTTTATCTTTTCTTTAGCCCCTACCATGTGTGAAAGAAATCACTGTAAAACTGCACTTCTAATATAAGGGCATAAACATGTGGCACTAAGATGTGCCCCACTGGGGAGCTAAAATGCAAGTAGGAGTTAATATAGTTAACTGACCCATATTACAGCTAACCAGACCATTTTACTAGCATCTTTCTGTGCCTTAATGATGAGCCATTTGAGTCATTGACTTTGTTGAGCAAAAGTAACCTTTTTAAAGCATAGAATTAATATTATAGATTATAACAAAAAATGTCAGTTAATGAAAGCTTTCTATCTAAAGCCATCCCAGTTTGTATCAGTTTATTTAGTTAAAAAAAAAAAAATGTTTCTGTAAGTCACTCCAGAGGGGTCCCAGAATGAAAGTAAAACATTCTGTGTACAAAATCATTCTCTAAGTCAGCACATAGTCATAGCATATGGCCCATATAGTACACGGAGGCTATAGGTATGAACTGTATCTAAAACCTTTAAAAAATTTTTTTCCATTCAGTGTTTTTTTGTTTATTTGTTGTTTGTTTTTTAGTGGGAGAGAGGTCAAGAAAAGGACAAGGGAGAGGGAGAGCAAGAATCTTAAGCAGGCTCCATGCCCAGCTCAGTGTAGACATCATGACCTGAGCCAAAATCAAGTCAAATGGTTAACTGACTAAGCTACCCACGCACCCCTCCGTTCAGTTTTAACCTAGTGTCACTTTGTAAATGTTAATTGTCTGCTAAAAAGTATTTACAATCCCTACACATAAAAAGTTGCAGAATTTTAAAGATACAGGATCATAGTAAAGATGTCTTTGAAGCTCTTTGTTCTCTGCCTAGAGAATTTTTAATCTTTTTTTCCATATTTGTTCCCAGTGACTAATCTGATCTGGTAGAAAAGATTAGAAGGACTCTTTAGAGTTCACAATTCAGCTGAGGTTAATGTTTCGATTGGGGCATAAAAAGCTGGCAGGGCTGAAACTGGATAGGAGACAGGATAGAGAAGCTTCTCAGGTTCTTTAGAACTAGGTCTTTTCAAGTTTGGCTTCATTCTTATGATGGTGAGTAGCTAGATCAAAGGTATCTTCATTTAAATAAAGTTACCAATATTTATTACAAATCTAAATACAAAAGATTTTAGTATTGTGTCTCTATTCATTGTTATTGCTAAAAATGACACATAGTACATGGCATCGTTTAACTATAAGCACTTAAAATTTATAGTCTATTAAAAATGCTAGCTGTTAGTTCTCAGTATAGATCAGTGCCCAAAGCTTCAGTTGAATAATCTGCTTTTGGTTTATCTGCTAGTTGGTGATCATTGTTGACCTGTAATAGAATGGACCAAAGTGCTTGGTGAATTTTGTTTTAGATGGCTCCAATTTTCATTAGACTTTTTAAGGAACAATGTCTACAGCCCATTTTTCACCAGTTTTCTGTAGGCCGTTAGCCAAGGGATCAAATCATTCTTAAATACTGATAGATTGTTCTCTTTAAATGATTGGACAATTTCTTTCATCTTCCACCTGAATTTTAGAATGGCGAGAGTATCATGGTTGAACTTGCAGCTGGACCTTTTGGAAACAATGAAAAGGTAGGGATGGCAATTAAATAGAAATGGCTGTCAGTGTATATATGTGTGTCCAGTTAATAATTTTGCCTTCCTGTGTAATCCATTGGTCATGTAGTGCATGTTAAGGTATTGTAAAACTTTATTTCTCACAAAATATAGCCCTTTTCTTAGTTATTCTAAATTATTAAACACCTATTGACTTGGGTTTCATCCTAGAATGATGGAAACTTGGTGGAAGCCACTGCTCAACCCTCAGCTCCCCATGAGAAAGTAAGGATTGTATTTCAGATATGTTCATTGGACTTTAAATCATACCCTCTGAGACAAGACTCTTCTTTGGGGGAAAAAATCCAGATTTAAAAAAAAAAAAATCTGTTTCAAGGCCAGAGTCCTATTTTTGGTAAAAAGGAAAAAAAAAAAAAAAAAAAAAGGTTAGATGTGGGGATACTGGACTAATACTGTTAACCCTCATGTGTTTTGGGTTTCATTTTTCCAAAACTGTATCTATTTCTTTCAAGCTTTCTGTGCATTCAGAGTATATATGTGTGTAGCTTAGGTTCTCTGATTTCAAGTTCTAAAATGTCTATTTAAAAATGTTAAAACAATTACTCTCATATCAATCCTTCCCTTTCTAAGAGATATGGGTAAAGATTCATAAGAGGTTTATTAGTGCCTTTTTTTTTTCCCCCCATAATTACAGTTACCAGTAGTCATCAGGGTACCAAAGCTGGCCTATTTCTCAGTAATGAGTGTGTGCCTCATGCCAGTTTCAATACTGGGTTTTGGAGACATTATTGTACCAGGTAAGCAGTTGTTTGTAACAATTCAGTAAGAATATACTGACGGTTTAAAATTGCCAAATGTGGGGCGCCTGGGTGGCTCATTCATTAAGCATCTGCCTTTGGCTCAGTTCATGATCCCAGGGTCCCAGGATAGAGCCTCGCATTGGGCTCCCTGCTTGGCAGGGAATCTCCTTCTCCCTCTCCCACTCCCCCAGCTTGTGTTCCCTATCTCACTGTCTCTCTCTCTCTGTCAAATAAATAAATAAAATATTTTAAAATAAATAAATAAATAAAAATTGCCAAATATTTAGTATCTATTAAAAGTTACCTATTCTGTTATTAAGTATTTGTGGCTATTGCTAGAGCTCGGATCAGTGAAGAAAACAGAAAAAAAAAAGCATTTCAAAGGGTAGAAGATAAAGCCCAAATCTCCCATGGCTCAAAAAATATCTTAGAGGAAGTACCTAGGATCAGTTTGACCTACTTGCCCAAGAAAGTATGTAACAAAACTCTTTAAAAGTTGAACTTAAGGGGCACTTGGGTGGCTCAGTGGGTTAAGGCCTCTGCCTTCGGCTCAGGTCATGCACGATCCCAGGGTCCTGGGATGGAGCCCCGCGTCTGGCTCTCTGTTCAGCAGGGAGCCTGCTTCCCTTCCTCTCTCTCTGCCTACTTGTGATCTCTGTCTGTCAAATAAATAAATAAAATCTTTTTTAAAAAAAAGTTGAATTTAATAATACCAAATGTATTGCACTTTCTATGACTTCTATTTTAAAAAAATAGTTATGGGTTAGGAAAAGTGGTTTATGATTACCAGGCAAGGTCATGATCAAGAGAAGAAACATAATAGAATGCAAGCTTGTAGGAAATTATGATACAAAAAATACAGCATATAGCATATCTTCTCTGACGGATTATTCTCATTGGGCTATCTATAGGATAAACTTAATCCCAGCCCAGGAATAATATAGCCTAGAAGTATTTACTAGTCTTTCTTAATCAGCCAAGAGTTTGTCCTTTACTTTTCTTATAGTCTCTCTGTACTAACTGCCTGTGAAGGGGTAAAAAGTATGGGCTCATCTGCAAAAGCCCTTTCATTTACATAGTAAAGCCAGGCAGAGAGAGAAAAGCCAACAGCTTTGCCTTGTGAGTTGGCATGGCAAAGTCCAGTGTAGCAACTCTTAGTTCATTTTCTAGGATAGATCACGGGTTAGGCCACAGAGCAAATCTTAGCAAATTTAAGAAGATTGAAATTACATACCAAGTATATTTTCTGACCACAATGGTATGAAACTAGAAATCAATAACAGGAAGAAAACTGGAAAATTCACAAATACATAGAAATTAAATAAAATAGTTTTGAACAACCAGTGCATCAAAGAAAAAATTAAAATAGAAATTTAAAAATATTTTGACAAAAATGAAAAGAAACAATATCCAAACGCTTACAGGATGCAATAAAAGGAGTTCCAAGAGGGACGTTTATAGTGATAAGCACATACATCAAGAAAATAGAAAAGCAGAGAAGCACCCTAACTTTATATGTAAGGAACTGGAAAAGGAAGAACAAACTAAGCCCAAAGTTAGCTGAAAGAGGGAAATAGGATTCAGCAGAAATAGAGAACAGGAAAACAGTAGAAAAGATGAATAAAAAGTAGAAAAGATGAATAAAACCAAGAGTTGGTTATTTTATTTTATATATAGATTTTTAAAAATTTATTTGAGAGAGTAAGCGAGAGAGAACACAGGAGGAGAGGGGGGAAAGAGCAGAGAGAGAGGGAGAAGCAGATGCCCTGCTGAGCAGGGAGCTAACTTGATCCCAGGACTCTGGGATCATGACCTGAGTTGAAGGGAGATGCGTAACCGACTGAGCCGCCCAGGTGCCCCAGAGTTGTTTTTTAAAAAGATAAACAAGGGGCACCTGGTTGGCTCAGTCATCAGGCATCTGCTTTTGGCCCAGGTCAGATCTCGGGGTCCTGGGATCTAGCCCCGCATTGGGCTCCCTGCTTAGCGGAAGGCATGCTTCTCCCTCTCCTATTTGCCCTGCCTGTGTTCTCTCTCTCGCTTGTCTCTCTCTGTCAAATAAATAAAATCCTTTTAAAAATAATAATAAATAGGGACGCCTGGGTGGCTCAGTTAGTTAAACGTCTGCTTTTGGCTCAGGTCATGATCCCAGAGTCCTGGGATCGAGTCCCAAATGGGGCTCCTTGCTCAGCTAGAGCCTGCCTCTCCTTCTGCCCCTCCCCTTGCTCATGCTCATGTGCGCTTTTGCGCTCTCTCTCTCTTTCTCAAGTAAATTAATAAATAAAATCTTTAAAGAAATAAATAAATAAAGACATAAACAAAAATGACAAACCTTCAACTAGACTAACCAAGAAAAAAAAAGAGAGCACCCAAATTGATCAAATCATAAATGAAAGAGGAGATATAACCACAGAAATATAAAAAATTTTCTCCATGTCATGCAATATTAAGCAGCTAAAAAAAATCATGCCTTTAAACACTGTTTAATGGTTTGGGAAAATGTTTAGAAATGGCATTAAGTTAAAAAAAATTATATAAAATTTTGTCCAGAATTTGAGGTACCTTAATGTTCTCACGGTGTGAAAATGAGTGTTAAATACAAGGCAGCATGTATTATTGCCATAGTTAATAGTTGAATTTGCATTGCTGTTACTGTTTTAAGAAAATAACGTGTTTGGTGGGTTTGGTTTTTTTTTTAGGCCTCTTGGTTGCGTATTGTAGAAGATTTGATGTTCAGACTGGTTCTTCTTCTGTATACTATGTTTCCTCCACAATCGGTAAATTTTTGTTTTGTCTTCCTATTATGTTGTACTGTCTGTAGGAAAAGGTTGAGGTCTAAAAGTATGGAGTCCTGGACTCTGATTCTTCAGCGTTAATTAATAAGTTTTCCCATCAAAAAGGAATAATACTTTACTACCTATATCATAAGGTTTTGAGATTTAAAAAATTATATGTGAAAGAAAATAATTAGATTTTCTATCTTAAATGCTTATTAGAGCATCTGGCACATGACTAGTCAATAAATTATATAATATTAGATTTTCTTAAAATACTATATGATTGACAATGTATTTATATAAATGAATATGTGACACAATAACATCTCACCTGGGACAGCAGAAATAATTGTCATTTATCCCTCTATTTCTCTTATTGAGAATAGGAAGCAAGCCAAAAAATACTTCTAAACGTATCAAACAGATATCTCAAAGTCCATACCAGAGTTCTTTACTCTTAGGTAAGTGGCCTGCTTCAGAGCCATTTAAATACTGTTCTGGTAAAGTTTTCAATTCCACAGTGGAGTAAAATGCAGTAAATTAAAAGTGTATGCTAGTAGGAGAGAAGGTTATTACTAGGAATAGGAATGTGACAGCAAGAAAGAATAGCTAAGTGAATGAAAAGCTGATAAAAAGAAAAAATAACTATAAGGAAATAAGAAAAGCAGTTCAAGGCTACTGAGAATGGTATTATCAGAGGGCATGGATGTATTAAAGTCCAGCACCAGTCAGTGTGATAGAATACAAGAACACTCAATGCAAAGGCAGGTAAGAGGGCTCTGTCCATTGCGCTGTATAACTTCGGCAGTTCACTTAACTTCCCTGGTCCTCCATTGCCTTGCCCGTCCTTAAAATCAGGAGGTAAACTGAGCTGTCTATAAAGGCTCTGTTAGCTCCAATATTCTGAGATCCTGTGTTCATGGTGAGACGCTGAGTCATCAAGGAGAGATCAGATGATGTTTTGTGTGCCCTTGTTGAAGAAGTCCAGGAAGTATATAATCAGAATGAAGATTTTCCAAAGATTTTAGTACCTACAGGTACAAATTTTAGTTATCTAAAATGTGCAACAAACAACTCAGCATCCTTAATGGTGACCGTTAATGGAGATTTCTTGAATTATTGTCTTTGTCAATGATTAATGATTCGAGTAATTATAATTGAAACACTAACCAGTTTCCAAACTTTCAAAAGCAATGAGGTATGTCTCTGCTAATGGCTGTCTAGGAAGATAACAAAATGAGGGAAAAAGTCATAGGGCAAAAATTGTGCTCAGAAATATTTGAAACCACCACTTCAGTAAAGGAGTCAGAATCCACTTTGGTAGCTGTAGGTCTAAAGTCAACTGCCACCCCTCTGCTCCCATTCTCTTGAAGCTGACTTGTTTGTGCCTCATTCTTCCGTGTGCCATTGGGAAGTGGCAAGTGGTCTTTGGAAAGCAGCAGGTAACATGTAGAAATGACTGATAATTGGTGTTCTTCTTACAGCCTATGCTGTTGGCATGATACTCACATTTGTTGTTCTGGTGCTGATGAAGAAGGGGCAGCCTGCCCTCCTCTATTTAGTTCCTTGCACACTTGTTACTGCCTCAGTTGTTGCCTGGAGACGTAAGGAAATGAAAAAGTTCTGGAAAGGTAGCAGCTATCAGGTATGTGCTTCTATCTCAGTTGCCAAGCTATGACATAATTCACTGACTAACTTCAGCTGGGACCCGCCTATATATATCACAGCTTTTATGTGACCCAGAGTTTCCTTGGATCTGTCAGGATGTCCCAGGTTTTTTCCACCATTACCACCTCTTTGTCCACCAGCTGCTCAGCAGTTCTTATCCCTACGGTGGTCTGATGCCAAAACCCTGGTGGCTCAAGCCAAAGCTACCAAGAAGCAGTGGGAGGGCATCAGGGAAAACCAGAATAGCATTTCAACATGAGTTTTCAAATCCACACACAAATAGATTTCACGAAAAATAATACTGTATCAAGTCTGAGAGACTGACGTTAGTTCTTTATAGTAAAAGTCCTGAGGTTTTGCAGATAAAAAGCATGTACTCTCGGGGCGCCTGGGTGGCTCAGTGGGTTGAGGCCTCTGCCTTCGGCTCAGATCATGGTGCCGGGATCCTGGGATCAAGCCCTGTGTCAGGCTCTCTGCTCGGCAGGGAGCCTGCTTCCCGTCCCCTCTCTGCCTACTTCAGATCTCTCTGTCAAATAAATAAATAAAATCTTTAAAAAAAAAAAAGCATGTACTCTCTACAGCACCTAAATGGGTCTACCTAAATTAAATAGGGTACCCGTTTCAGATTTAAATGGATCAAGACCAACTTCCCTGGAACAGAGAAAATCGTGATAGCAGAATCTGGTGTTTGAGTTTTTTCTTCATTGAAGTTAAAACCCTTTCTTTTCCTGAATGTTCTTGATATTCCAGTTAAATTTGTTTCCATTGAAATTAAAGAGCGTTGGGAAACTCCAGCCTGTTAAAGGTCAGGGCTGTGGCATCGATCCCTTCATGAGGCAGTTAGCTCTGCTTTGCCCTATTACAACAAACTACCTTCCTCCATCTGCCCTCGTACATGCGTGTTAGTAGTCACATGAACAAAAACAGAAGTACTTTGGGTGGATGCCTGCAATTCTGTTAGTAGATAAGCAGTTCAAAGTTCACATCCACCTTCTGGTTGGTCTGTAGCATCATCTTTATTTAACAAAAAATGATTCACATACAAAGTTAGACTCCTATGTTTGGAAGAAGCACTGTCTAGAATTCTTTTGGGTAAATCTTGTAATTCCTTTGAAATTTGGTTAAAATAATAATACCTGCTCTGTCTACCTCACAGTGTCATTGTCTCAACTTACATTTGTGCACAAAGAATTATGGCCACAAGTCTTTTTTTTTTTTTTTTTTTTTTTTTTTGCCACAAGGCTCTTAACTAAACGAGTAAGATAGCTCATAACTTTTACATGAAAAGGACACCCACGTAGAGTTTTTTATTTATTTAGATTTTTAAAAATTAAAGTGTGTTCTACAACACACCTTTGAAAGTCACATCCCAAAAAGTACTATTCACAGTCATTTTCTTAAAATAGTGTTATATTTCTTCATTTAGCAAATGTTAGTTAAGCAGTTCTGTGAGCCAGGTGCTATTTTAGGTGCTGTTGATAAAAGATGTTGATAAAAGGCTTACTCTCATGGCCTCTTGAAAGTTAGAGGTGAGTGGAGGATGCAGATAGTCACTGACAAAGTGTGATAAATGTATTTATTAGTTATGGTAGGGTGCCATGAAAGCTAGCAATAGGATACCCAGTGCTTGTCATTTTTTGACAGTCAAAGGTGATTTAGGGAAGACTGCTTTTTTTTTTTTTTTTTAAAGATTTTTATTTATTTGAGGGGCGCCTGGGTGGCTCAGTGGGTTAAGCCTCTGCCTGCGGCTCAGGTCATGATCTCGGGGTCCTGGGATCAAGCCCCGCATCGGGCTCTCTGCTTTGTGGGGAGCCTGCTTTCCCCTGCCTCTCTGCCTACTTGTGATCTCTCTCTCTCTGTCAAATAAATAAATAAAATCTTTACAAAAAAAAAACCAAACAAACAAAAAAAACCCTTAAAAAAAAAAAAAGATTTTTATTTATTTAAGAGAGAAATGAATGGGAGGAGGGGCAGAGGTGGAAGCAGAAGAAGACTTCCTACTGAGCAGAATCCTGACCTGACACTTAACAGACACTTAACTAACTGAGCCACCCAGGCACCCCTTAGGCAAGGCTTCGTAAAGAATGTTAAATTTATGTTGAAACTTTTAAGACTGAGCCATGTGTTCCATATGGAGGGAACCATGTCTTGAAATGCTCAGAGGGAAGAGATCATGGCACATCTAAGAACTAAATGAAGTTTAGGATGACTATAATGTTGAGTAACAGCAGGAAATGAAAACTGGAGAAGGATACTAAATAAAGCAATTGATGGTAAGAAAATTCATTTTAAAATATCTGAAAAGTTAAGACAACTTTAGTTATACACTTCTCACTTTTGTAGTGTGGTCTCATAATTTTATTAGGTAAAGACATTCAAAATATAAAATAACACATTGTAATAAAAAGTGTGCAGTCTGGTACCAGACTGCCTAAGTTTAAGTCTTGTTTTGTTAATTATTAGCCACATAACCTTAGGCAAGTTACTAGCTTCTTGGTGCCTCAGTTTCCTTTAATGTAAAAAGGAATAATCATCATCCTACTTCAGAGGGTTGTTGTATAAAATATGCAAATTGCTTAGAATAGTGCGTGGCACATCATAAACACTGTGCATTTGCTATTATTTATAGAAATCGGGGTTTTTTGTTTTGGTTTATTTGTTGGCTTGGTTGTTATTTTTCAGTTCATTAACTAGGTTTCCATTTTCCCAGTTTGAACATTAAAACTTAAGGTCTTTGTTAGATCTGATTCTTTTAACTTATTTGCAGAAAGATTTGATAGCCATCACAAGCCTCAGGGGGGAAAAATCTGTTAAATGCAGCCATTTTCCCACTGTACACTAGATTTTTTTAAAACATGAAGAACAGACACATGCTGAAATTTAAGGCAAGTTAGTTGCAGAAAATTATAAACTACTGCCAGAAGAGAATTTTTTTTAAAGAAAATTAGCATTTTCAGAAGTCATAGAATGTAATGCCTTTACAAAACTATTCCCCTGTTACTGTGAAAAAGGAAATCTCATTGCTTCTGTCCAATCTTTAAAGTCAAAAAATCAATTTAGCTTTAATGTTGCCATTTGTGGGAGATAGTATCTTTTAGGCTTTGGAATCCGTTCTGGCAAGTCACTTGGTCTGTTAAGACTCTGTCTCCTCGGGCGCCTGTGTGGCTCAGTGGGTTAAGCCTCTGCCTTTGGTTCAGGTTATGATCCTAGAGCCCTGGGATTGAGTCTCGCATCAGGCTCTCTGCTTGGCAGGGAACCTGCTTCCTCCTTTCTCTCTCTCTCTCTCTGCCTACTTGTGATCTCTCTCTGTCAAATAAATAAGTAAAATCTTAAAAAAAAAAAAAAAAATGACTCTGTCTCCTCATCCATAAAATGAGGTTGGATCTATAGGCAGTTAGGAGAATCTGTAATTCATAGTGGTGGGTTACCACAGGGCTTGGTAGGGCAGGGGGATGAGATCAGGTAAGTCTAGTAAGTCTAGGCTGAGGCTTTGAAAGTATAACTTGGAACCTCAACAAGTGTGGTAAAGGAGAGGGAGACTAGGTATCAACCCAGTGTAAGGGCGGCCTGAAGATCAGCCCTGGAGTCTGGCCTCAGGCCGTTGTTCATCTCATCTCTCAGGGTAACGTGTCATAACCTTTTCCCTCCTCTCCCCTGCCTCCATTATGTTCATAGTATTGCCAGACTGTTTCCAAAATATGCCTTAATATTATTCCCAACTCAGAATCTTCCTTCTCCAAGCAGATATCCAAGAGTTCTTCAGTTGAAATTAGGTTCACCTTTCCCCACATTTTTTATGGACTTTGTACTTCTTTTTTTTTTTTTTAAAGGATTTTATTTTTATTTATTTGTCAGAGAGAGAGAGAGGAGAGAGAGAGAGCGCACAGGCAGGCAGAGTGGCAGGCAGAGGCAGAGGGAGAAGCAGGCTCCCCGCCGAGCAAGGAGCCTGATGTGGGACTCGATCCTAGGACACTGGGATCATGACCCGAGTGGAAGGCAGCCGCTTAACTGACTGAGCCACCCAGGCATCCCTGGACTTTGTACTTTTTTTTTTTTAGCTTTTATTTATTTATTTGACAGAGAGAGAGATCACAAGTAGGCAGAGAGGCAGGCGGGGGAGGGGGTGGGGGAGAAGCAGGCTCCCCGCTGAGCAGAGCGCCCGATGCGGGGCTCGATCTCAGGACTCTGAGATCATGACTCGAGCGGAAGGCAGAGGCTCAACCCACTGAGCCACCCAGGCGCCCCTGGACTTTGTACTTTTAATACTTACTAACATCTGCCTTGTAGTGTAGACATTTATGTGTGCCTCCCTCAGTAAGCTATTATCTTCCAGGTATTAGGAAACTACAGTGCTGATAACTGTTTTATGTAGTATAAATTCTCAGTTAATGTTATGGAAATTTTTCATGCAAAGCAACTTTAATGTTCAGTCCTTAATCCACTGACCTTTAGTCACTTTTGTGTGTATGTGTATAAGTTTGTGTTTTAGCAGCCCTCATAGAATTACCAAAATTATTACAAGGTTTGTAAAATTGAGGCCCTTTTAAAGCATTAAATCAGACTTGTGTCTTTACAGTCTTTATATATAATCTTTTTTTTTTTTTGCAAGTGCCAAAAGTTTTTGCTACTATTTGATAAATCAAATATAAAACAGATAATACAAAATAAAACCAGAATCTAAGATGATGGCACACTTGTTTATGCTGCTAATCATTTGGTTCATTCCAATGCCTGGTGTTGGAGTGAATGCAAGAATAGTGGTAGTAAAAAGCAGGCCTTTGCACTAGACACTTTTTAAATGTCATGGTTTAGCCCTGATAGCCTTTTTATGCTTTTTTATGCTTTCTTATACCCCATTTGTTGCTGAAACATAGAGACTTTGTGAAAGAACTTTAGTATTTTATTTAGTCTTTTGGCCCTTTCCATGAATTTTTCTGATCAAAAGAAGTAATATTTCTATAGGATTTCACTGAAATAGTACTGATTTGGAAATCCTAGTTGTATATTCTATAACTTAAAGCTACTAACACTATTACTTGCTATGAACTTTTTTTCTTGACTGCTTCAAGAGCTATGATACTCAGTTCCATATGATTCTACCCAAGGTCTTAAGTTCTGATTACTGTAGAATAAATAAAGATGTTTCTTCTCTAGAGAGAAAAGTCAACTAGTAGCCTAATTACTTTGGCACAAAGAACAACTAGGAGACATCATCATTTTAGGGGATTTTTTTGTTTCTAATACTAAATCAGAGGAGTTAGATTTATGGAACAACCTCCAGTGGGCTATTTTATTCTGGGTAGGAAGTAAGTGTTCAGTTTGTTGATATCCAGTAAACAGTGGGTTTGTCTCTGTTAAATGTCACTAGTGCTTCTAATTATTTTTAGAAGTCACAAGCTGTAACTGACAAGTCAGAATACAGAGATACTTAGAACAACGCTGCTTTAATATCAACAACTCTCCAGTTACTCCCCTTTAATGAGAGTTTTAATAGAGTGTTTCTGGAGATTGGTCCAATTATAAATAAGCAGAACTATCAGAAGATGCCAGGCAAGCCAACCCAGTATCAGAGGACATCTTTCCAAACTGAGCTTGCTTATTTACAAATGTTACAAAAACGATACCAATTTTATTATCTATATCAATTTTGTTAATGTTTTGTTAATGTTTTTAAAAACCTAGTCCAAGGTTGCATTCATGTTTCTATAATGCTTTTATTGAAAAGTCAGTAAAGAAAAGTAAATACAGAGTATAGATCTTCTTAATAAGTTGATTTTGAAAGTTTTTTTTTTTTTTTTAACAACTACATTTACATATATGGTTAGGGATTAGATTATAGTGCCTGAGGTCCCTGAGGATTAGGAAAGAAAAGTCCCTGAGGATTAGGAAAGAAAAGGCATGTGATAATTTAGGGGGTGGAAGCTGTGAATTCAGTAGGGTACAGGTGCCAGGGCAAGATGCTTTCCCCACCATCCATTCTGCTCAGGCTGCCTCCGTTCTCTTTCCCTGCAGCTCCAACCTCTCACACCCAGAATTTCTAAACTGCTAGAAGGAAAGGGACCTAAATATATCTTACATGCTTCTCCTTGCTCTCCCTCATTTAAATGGTGACTATAATCAACTCTTCAACAACATTCATGTGTTTTGTGTGGGAAAGTGTTTGATAAATGTGTTACCTGTCTCAACTGGGTTTTTGTCTCCTCCTCCCCCCCCAAAGTAGTACAAACATGTAACTATCTTAATCTTGGGGATATGTTTGGCAAATACAGGACCTCAGAATTGATTTTTTGGGGACTTGAGATGACTCATAGAGTCCTGGCAGGATTGGGCTTTATAAGCTGTGTCTGTTTTCTTAAGACAGTTGTCAGCTAAAAGCCTCAGCTCTTGTGGTATTCTTGTCTGGCGAGGTCAGAGACCCCATTTGGGTATGATCCCGCTGTCTGCTTCCTTTTCCAAAAAACACTAAAGCTTTTAGAATCACTTTACAAAAATAGGAACATTTATCTTGCTGGTCTTCCTTCTAATTCTTGATAAAGAAGGGAAAATGTGCATCACAGTACTGAAAATCACTCATCTAAAAATCTTTGACAATCTTCACAAAGACATTAAGTAGGTACTTTTTCCTATTTCTAAGTAATTTTATGTGAAGAACACAATGAAAACATTTAAGCAGTTTCTTCTTCCTTCTGCCTTCATCCCAGAGGTAAAAAAATTTATATAGGCCTATGGATGAGCAGAGCTGAAGTGACTGAAAAAAGTTTAACTGGTAATTCCTCTAGAGTAGTCTATTGCAAATGTATTCTTGATTTTATTTTCAGAGAATCATTTGACCTTAAGTTCCTTCCATTTATTTGGTTTTGGTAGAAATATTTGTTACACAGTATTTCCAAAATTTCATGCATCATTCTGAAATTATTTTACAGTCAGTTCAAGGTGTCAACCAGGTTACGCTGTCCCCAAACTAGCAGGTATTCTCACAATGACTTGTGGGGTCATTTTTAGTTTTTTCACCTTTAACAGTGAACAGTGAACACGGCCTGGAATCACATCCTAGAATGAGCATCGGGAATATCTTCCTTTGGTGGTAGAGTTTCTACTGCCATGAAGGGCAGTTCATATTGGGAAATAGAAATAGTGGAAGATTCAGAGAAAGCATTTATCAGATTGACCCTGAGTCAAATGATTTAGGCTTTTCATGTCACCCTGACCATATCCTTAGGAACGTGGACATTAAACCAGTGCATTGCTCTAAAGAGAATGCCCAGTTCCATGGAGTGCTCCTTGTCTCTTTAAGATTGATTTACTTATTATTTGAGAAAGAGCCAGCATGAATGGGAGGAGCTGGAGAGGGAGCAGCAGACTCCCCACAGAGCAGGGAGTCAGACGTGGGGCTCCATCCCAGGACCCCAGGATCATGACCTGAGCCACAGGCAGACACCTAACCCACTCGACCACCCAGGCATCCCCTCCCTGTCTTTTCTAAAAAGTGGGAATCCTTTGGCCAAATTAGTAAATATTGAGGGCAAGTTGAAATTTTGCATTTCCTGACATTTTTTATTTATGCCTAGGTGATGGACCATCTGGACTATGCAACAAATGAAGAAAACCCTGTGACTGCTGGGGAACAGATTGTTCAACAATAGTATTATGTAGACCTGCAATAATGTGTCAGTTGATTTTCTACGAATAGAGTTTGACTTTTTAAATTGACTTTTGAATTGACAATCTTAATGAATCTTCAATGATATGCTTGCAAATATATATTTTTAAGAGCTGGTACTGACAATTACATCAAATAATTGAAACACATTTGCTTTTAACTGTGTTAAAATTGTGCCTTCACATTAAATAAAAGCTTATGGTCTGTGTAACTTTGAAGATCTGTTACATACAGTATATTTTTCTAAAGAACTGTCTTGACCCACCCCATACTTTCTTACTGAAATGTTTCTTTCAACTCCTAGTAATAGATAAAAGTATTTCTGTCAGAGTGAGTTTCTGAACAGATTTTACTGTCAAGAATTATGTAGATTTTATGCTCTGTAGAAATAACTGCCTAAGACCATGTTAGAAAGCAGTTCAGTGATGAAATTTTGGACCTTTTCACTGCAGAGGTTAGAAAAATATAATTGGGGAATATATATAAATGGATATTTTTGTAGCATAAGTTTTTTTTAAGTCCCAGTCTTTTTTAAACTTGAAAATCTAAATTACTTTAGTCTGCCTATGTATTATAGTAAAATATTTTTCAGATATAAAGAAACATAATATATAGAACTAGTCATTAAAAGGACACAGAAACTGAAATCCGCAGTTTTCAGTGGTCTGTTTTTCTTGAAGAGGTAGCTTAAATTTCTACACTAACATTCAGTTTTGTCATGGTATTCCTTATTTGTGAAATTTGGTTCTGTTGATGTTCAGGCTTGAAATTTGTAAAAAGTATTTATCAACTTCTCTGTTAACACATGTGGCTCATTGTGTGAGTACAGCAGCCCTAACAGTCTCTCCTCACCCCCTCAACCACCACCTTTTTTTTTTTCCTAATTCCCACTCCTTCCCCTATAAGAAACCAATGTTAATCTTTTAATATTTTGATGAAGGATGGTTTAATATGCAAAGTGTGCTTCAGAGGAAAGAATTGGAGACAAATAGGAGACTGGGTTAGTCCCAATTTACTGACAATATAAGAATCTGAGTAAATTATTTTAGCTCAAAACCCTTGTATCTCAGTTTTCATATCTGCAAAATGAGTAAGTTAGACCAACTAATCACTCTGGTACCTTCCAACTTGAAAAATATCTTTCTCATTCTTTGCTGAATCTCAGTGTGACCTTGAATATTATCCTGGAAGACAGAGGTTGAAGTATCTTTCCACTGTCTTTTGTTTTAAGAAATTCCCAAATGATGAGTGATTTCAACAGCAGCAGGATTTTGCATTTCTCTGTAAGTAATGTACAAGATTGTGAATAAGTCTGTGATCTTTCATTCTAAGGCCATTTCAGCTGATCAAAATATAAAACTAATGCCTTTTAAAAATGGATTTGATCTTTGATGTTTGTAGTAAACGTAATATTTGAGGGAGTTAGATGTTTAATTTTGTTTCATTAACTTTTGTTAAATAAACTATAGATAGAGAACTCCCTGACAGTCTGCCCCTCTTTCCTCTTAGTGTACTTATGGGTCCTTTGGTTTATGGCAAAATGACGGTAAGTATCTGTCAAGTAAGAGTTAATTTTGCCTCCATAATACCAAGTTTGGATTTTTTCCAAAGAATCTAATTTATTTGGCAGACTCTGATAGAACAGATTAAGTGCCATTTTAAAGCTCCAACTATATTTTCATTTATAATATCAATAAAATGTTTGCCAAAATACAGTTTTTTTAGTAAAATTATCTGTACTCATCCCAACTTTATGATATTTAAAAGCCTCAACCACATTTTATGAAGAATATTAAAGAAAATTTTACATCTAAAAATGTGAAATCTTAGTTCTTTGATACAGAGTCTACTTTATCCAACCATAAGTTATCAGAGGTAGAACTTTATTCTAGTTTGCTATTGAGATCTTATCGATTAAATGAAAATAAGAAACAAAATGAAATTCCACAGGTTTCTCCATTCTCAGTGTCAACTTTATTTGTATTCAAAGAACACTTCTAGCAACCTAGCTGAAAATATTTTGAGAAATTACAGTAAAGTGCAGAAATATTTTGTTTTGGAAATCAAAATGAACAAAAGGTGAGGGAGTTGGAGGTTTGGCTTTAAAAGGCTGTGTCATTTCTTCCCCTCTCATCCTCCCACCACCTATGACTTGAAGGGGATGAGAGTTGGTTTTTTTCCTAAACGTGTCTTTAAAAGAGTGAGATATATATAGTATTATTACTTACTGCAAAAAAAATAACTTATTACTTTTTAGAAAGTGTCTATAAATATTTTGTAGTTTATCAAACAACTAAATAATCTCAAATAGTAACATAGGTGATTTTTACTTCACTTTAGGTCAGCAAAGGTAAATTCTAACTTTTTGATGAAAGACCTTGGTATTCTGATACACTCTATTTTCTTCCAGCTTGTAGATTTTTAGATTAGCAGTACCTTAGTAGAATCTGTGATTTACTTTTGAAGGAAGAGAATTTTAACCCATGCACTGTTGGCATATGTAGATTTTAGTTTCATGACCATAGAGGTTTTGGTAAAATGGTACATTTAAAGTAAATACTCAAAATGAGCTTTCCAGTTTTACTTTGCTCTTTCAATTTCTCCCATAGGTATAATCAAACATTATTTCTACATTTGACTGAAAAATACTTGAACTAATTTTATGTAAGCTTGGTTTCTAGAATTTCAACCTGATGATCTCAGCCAATGAGATTTCAAAAACACAGGAATTGCATTTCAGACCAGTGGAATGCACTAGTATGAAAGGGTTTATCTTTTCCCATTAATAAGGAAAAAAGTTGAATGATGCCAAATAACCAATTCTGCAGTTTAAAATTTTTATTTCCAGTGCTCTCTTTACCTCAGAGGACAATTCTAAAGGGGGGGTGGTTAAGATAATGTAAATAAAATCAAAATACTGAATATAAATCACTCTTTGCTTTCTAGAAGAAAGATACTCTGTAAATTCAAGTGACCTGAATCAAATTACTCAACCTTTTGGAATTGGAAAGAAATTGTGTAGTACTCACAGTTTGGGATACTGAAATTTCAGAGTAAACAAAATGATTGATAGAGTAATGTACACGCCATATGATCATGAACACCATGTTTATATATTTCCTTGTTTAATGTTGCCATATTTGAGGACAACTTTACATCTATAAAAGTGTTCATGGGCGGGAAAATTATTTTTAAACTAAATTTTTAGAACAATCCTCCATTATTGCAATTGAGACAACTAAGAGAAAAAAAATACAGAATATTTATGTCATCGTATGTTTCTTTGATTAAGCATAAAAAATATTGTAAACTTCTATTCCTTTGGAATATGGATTTTTATGATATCTAAAGTTTATCTGGTTAGTCTGCAGAATTTCCTAGTAGAACAAATCTGTGTCAAGTTTTTGCCCATTTTATACCTGTTGTATTTTGTTTTAATAAGAACCTTTTTAAAAATACATATGATTGAATTTTTACTTCTTAGAAGATGGTTTGAGTGTGGAATTTTTTTTTAACGTTTTGATATGTGAGTTGGTATAAATTAATAATTTTGTAACACTACTAGGCTTTATTTTTTTTATGGAACATGATTTAAAATTTAAAATTTTTTGAAGTGTTAATTTAGCAGTGCTTTAAAACTTCATTCTGTGCCAATACTGATAAGAAAAAGTTTTTTAATGTATTGAATTCACTATGGTATTCAATAAATTATATTTTAAAATAAAATTTTAATTCGTTTTATTTTTAATGGTGAAATACAATTGGAAATGAACTTAAAAGTATACAAGATCGTGTTCACATAGAGTATAAATTGTGAGTCTTTAGGAAATTGTGTAGTTAATTTAAGTCTGACAAATTACCGTGAAACCTAGATTCCAGAAGTGTCATTTACTGGAAATTTATACTGATATATAATACCGCTTCCTAAGTATTTATTGAATGCTTGGACTATTTTTAAACCAAGAAATGTTACCTGTTACAGTGAATACTCCTGGCATCTGCAGCTTTGCTGCTGTTCTCACAAATTCCTAAGACATTGTACTGCCCTTTTAACAAGCTTTACAGCTCCTCTTTCTCATGCAAACATGTGAGACCCAGTACCTCAAACTCACCTGGAAGCCTGGTTGAACTCCAGATTGGTAGGCTCCAGTCCCAGATTTTCTAATTCAAGTCTGGGGTGGAAGCCAACCAAAAATTTCCATTTCTCACAAGTTCCCAGGTGACATTGGTACTGCTGGCCTGGGGGCCACACCTTGAGAGCTACTGGTCTAGGGAGAAATAGAGTATGATAGTTGGATCAAGGGCCCACCATGAGGTTTGTTTTCTTAAGTTGAAAACGATTATTCTGTGTTTGCGTGTTTGTCCAGCCATGTTCGGTTTACACAGGTACAATAGTGAATGTAATGAGGACTGTGATTTAGCCAAGCAAGGTCAAGAAACTTAAAGATGAACAAGAGAATTTAGGATGTATGTTGAAGCAGTGAATATAACTTACTAACTATGAAACTTAAGCTGGGAAAGGAAGGACATGAAGATATGAGGGGTGATGGAATGAGAGTAAAAAGGTGTGGGGATAAATGCATTTTAGGTCCCCATATTGTTGAGTGACTTTTGGGTCTAGAACATCAGAAGTTGGGATAGATGAGCAGTGGCGATCAGAGTGAACTGTTAGAAATTGAAATTATGAGGAATTGCCATTACTGGTAATGACAAGGTCATTGTAGGCTTCTCAGATAAAATACAGGATGCCAATTTAAATTTGATTTTCAGATAAATAAGGGTCATTTTTTAGTGTAAATGTATTCCAAGTTATACTTAGAGCATACATATTATGTATATGTATATTTTTCTTGATAGCTTATTCCCAGTATGGGTCTATTTTCATCCATTATACTGATCACCCAATGAGTCCTTTCAGTCTAGTAATCTCTATCCTTCAATTTCAGAAAATACTTTAAAATTATTTCACTCATTATTACCTCCCCTTCATTTTTTTCTGTTCTTTCTTTCTGGAAGCCTTGATATTTTGATGTTATACCTCCTGTACTAATCCTCTTTGTCTTCTCTTTCCTCTCAAATATTCCACCTCTTATTTTTGCCCTGTTAATCTAGAAGATACCCTTAATATTATCTTCTAATCTTTTATTGCATTTTTCATTTCTCTTAGCATGTTTTTAATTTCCAAGAGCACTTTTTTGCTCTCTGACAGTTTTGCTTT